TAATGAGTTCCAGGCCAAACAAGACTACATAGTAAGACCTTGTCTGTAAATTAGCAAACAAATTTACAAGAAGCCAGGCATTTGGTACATACCTGTAATCTCAGCACTTGGGTTGCTGAGGTGGCAAGATCATGAGTTCAAGACCAGCTTAGGTTACAGAATAAGGCTACATAACAAGACCCTCTTTAAATAATAATGATGATGACGATGCTAATGGGGCTGAAGAGATAGCACTGGCTGCTCTTCCATGGGAACCTGGGTTCAATTCTCAGCACAAACATAGAAACTCACAACTGTAATTCCAGTTCCAGAGGATCCAACACCCTCAGACATGATTGCAGGTAAAATGCTAATGTACATAAAATTTTAAATTAAATAATTTTTAAAGGTATGTTTTAGAGGGTAGTGCTTGCCTAGCCTTTTGCAGTGCCTTAGGTTTGATCCCAGGACTGTCAAAGGCAGAAAGGGTTTTTAAGAACTTGTTGGTAGTTTATATTAATCTTTTTAAAAGAATAAAATTATATTCAGTAGAGCCACCAATCTCTAAATGTCAGAACTTCCCATAAGAAGCTATAGACACACCTTCCAATTAGCTATTGACAGTCCAAGTCCTTGGTTACTCCCTCATCAATAATCCAGAGCAGAGCTGGAGAGATGGCTCAGAGGTTAAGAACACTAGCTGCTCTTGCAGAGGACCTGGGTTCAATTCCCAGCAACCACATGGTGGCTGCTGAGATCTGGTGCCCTCTTCTGACCTGCAGGCATACATACAGACAGAACACTATATACATAATAAATAAAATAAGTAAATCTTTTTTTAAAGTCCTAAATAGTAAAAAAAAAAAAAAAAAGAATCCAGAGCAAAGATTTTTCCGTCATTTTATTAATTATTTCCTACTGAGATTATAATTTTCCTACAATAAAGCTTAGACACTAGGGAAATTACATCTAAGTGCTTAACACATGAATAAGTAAACAACAACAACAAAAAAAAACAAACTTAATGTATCTCAGAGGCTCCAAAGAACAGGTATTGATTGGTAGGTCTGAGCCCCAAACCAAGCCTGGATATAACCACACACATGACACACACACATGACACACACACACACACACACACACACACACACACACCTACCCCTACCTAACTCCCTATAAGGCCATTGTAACAGAACCATTCTCATCAGAAGGCTGTCTACATTGTGAGTTTATATAGACTTGGCCTTATGGAAGAACCACCCCCTTGGTCAGAGAGCACTTTCTCTATTTGCCATAACATGAGTATGGTCTGAGACAGGTTTCTTTCAGTTTACTGAACATTGATTGAATCTTGGTAGGAATGTAATTGATTAGTAGGGTCATGTCTTCTGAGGTTGCAAATTTTGTGCTATGTTAAATAGTAGTATACAGATTTTGCCCTTTTGTTATTTGTATCACCTATAAACATCATCTTGCCACCATGCTCTGGTTACCTCCCCTTTGGTTCTACCTGTGCTGGCCTAAGTAAGGATAAAGGCAACATAAAGATACCTCTGCTAGGAAGGATTAGCAAGGCAAGACCTTTAAAGGGCTGCTACTCAGTTTTGCCAGGATGGCACACATCTTTTGAGAAAGCCACAGCCTTTTCTTGCTCTTTCATTCATGTGAACCTAGTTTGCCAGTGGCCCTCGCCTGCCATACCCACCAAGCTGCCTTTCCATCCTTTCAAGCAGCATTAAGGGTATAAGGTCATAAAAATAAAGTTTACTGTAGTCACAATACTGGTAGTCTTCTAGCTAGGATTTAGATTTGTTTAAAATACAATAATCTGGCAGGAGGTTGACTAGATAAAATAGGAAAATTTGTTCAAAGAACATGGCTCCTCGAGTTTTTAAAAATTACATTGGGGCAGGAGGAAAAGTGTAATCAAGCAATATTTTATGTTTTTAAAATATAGTGAAAGTTCCCATTTTGTAAATGAAGATTACTGGTGGCCTTTTCTTGAGAATTAAACAAACTCAGGATAAATGCATGCTAGCATACTTCACCACTGAGTAATATCCCCAGCCATCAGTCTTTTCTAAAGCCACCCACCTCTCAATGGGCAAGATTGCAGTGGATTCTCCTTCCAACCAGTCCTGCTATGTGCTGGAAATACAAATTATTTCAGTAGCAGCTTATACATATAATCTTAAAAACAAACCACCAACAACAAAAAAAAGTCTCATGTGATCCAAACTACCCTCAAACTCTGTGTTGCTGGAATGACCTTGAATTTTATGATTCTCCTGCCTCTACTTCTCAAATACTGGAGTTAGAGATCCCACACCAAGTTTATTTTTTGTTTTGTTTTGTTTTTTCTTATAAAGGAAAGAATTTAATTGGGGCTTGCTTACAGTCTCAGAGACTTCAGTTCATTGTATCATGGGAAAGCATGACAGCATGTAGTCAGACGTGATGCTAGAGATAGAGCCCACACCAAGTTTTATACCATGCTAAGGATCCCTTTATAAAGTGCTAGGGCTTCATGCATGGTTGTCAAGCATTCTACCAATCGTGCCACCTCTATCTCTAGCCTCAATAAATGAAAGTTTTAATGTAATTCACTGAAAATTGAGCATATTCCCAGCCACAGATTTAGAGTCCATGCGTTAGTGATTTGTATGAAGTTGGCTTGTAGATGAGATCTAAACACTTTGTTCTCTACCTGCCTTCCTCAACAAAGAAACAGGTATTTCTGCTTGTTTGTTTGTTTGGTTTGGTTTGCTTTTCTGAGACAGGGTTTCTCTGTGTACCCCTGGCCATCCTGGAACTCACTCTAGACCAGGCTGACTTCAAACTCAGAGATTCCCCTACTTCTGCCTCCCAAGTGCTGGGATTAGAGGTGTGTACCACCATGACTGACAAAACTGTGTATGTTTTAAAGCACCTTTTAGCTCCATGGTAGAGTACGTACCTGTCATGGATGAGGCCCAGAGTTCACTCTACAGCTCTATGATGTCTGTCTTGGATGGGTCATGCCTCTGAAACAAATGAATGTTCATGTTCTTGTAAAACAAGAAATACTGGGAAGCCAAGGAGGCCCTCTGGCTGTGTGGTTTCCCTGAGGCACATTCCAGGAAAGCATTCCCTACCCAAGCACTGCAGCTATGGCTAGCCTCTCCAGGTGCTCCAGCATCAAAGCTGGAGGGACAAGCACTCCAGTCAGGACATATCTGAACTCACACTTCCTACAGGTACTGTTTGATATGCTGGATACCTGGATGAAAGCAGAATAGAAGAATGAGAGACCCTCTTTATTTCTTCCTCTGGGAATGGAATTTGTAAAGAAGCCTAGGGTACCACTGGGGCAGAAATACAAGCGCCTACTCAGGAGTCTAGGAACTGTCCTCAGGTAGAGGTCTGCTGCCCTAAGGAGCTTAATGGAAGAGAATAGTCATGCTACCTCACCTTGGCCTAGGACAAGGTCATGGCTGTTCTAAGGCTGGGACTGAAAGATTCAGTGACTTAAGATGCAGTGGTAGAGCACTTGCTTACCATGAATAAAGCCCAGGTTTGACCCCAATACTACCTGGCAGAAAAAGGAAAAGGCTGAAGCTTGGCAGGACCAACCCTCTGGTCACTTGTGATCATTGAGGGATAAAACATCAAGGTAATCCTCAGCTGACTCTCCGATTGTTCACTCTCAATTTGTTTTTAAGGAAGCTACCTGTAGGACAAGGACAAATCCTACAGCACTGTACCCAGGATTCCTGGATTTCTTAAGCTTCCAAGGAACATGCTTTATCCCCAATGTCACTGATTTTTGACTCTGAAGTTCAGGAGATAACCAACAAGGTGACACTGCCCTCTAGTGGTCCAGTAAAGTCGTTCTTGTTGATGCCCTTTGGGTTTGTGCACTTTGTCAGTACAGATTATTCTTGTGGAAGGAATTTGGATTTATTCTTTGTTTGTTTATTGGATTTATTCGCTGTGTAGGCCCACAATGACATAACCTCTGAGCACTAAATGATATTTCCCCATCTTTGAGCATGCTGGCTTTGGAATTTGTTTCGTTTTCCTCCATATATATGAGCAGCTGTCTCTCTTACAGTAGTTCAAATCCTAAAAGCAAGGGTCTGTCTCGTTTATTCTTCTGCAGACTCAACTCTGTTGTTCAGTTAGCTGAAGATAAAATTAGAAAGAAGTTTCACTGAGGTGGAAAGGAATCTTTTCTCCCATCTTTTCCTCTACCCCATCAACCACAACAAATCTCTCGTTTCTCATTTGTTTCTAAGCCTTCTTGTCTTGTCCCTCTGACCTCTAGTTTTCCAACTGGTAGGATCATCTGAGTCCCGAGAGCTTATGGAACTCAGCTTTCTGAACCTGCCTCCAGCCCCACTGAACCCGTCTCTGTGGTCAGAGCCAGGAAATCTGCTTTACAAACTTCCCAAGTGGTTTTTGATGTGCAGCCAGGCTTGGCAGCCAACTGTTCTAAATCCTCACTTATTATTTCTTATAACCAGCCCCACACACAGTGTCTCCAAAAGGTCTTCAGCTTGTGTCATGTATTAAAAGTGACCATTTCGAGATTCATTCAGAAATAGTCAGCATGCCGTTCTATCTGGGTGATACTGGAAGGAAGAAAGGACAACAAGAGACAAATGGGTTGCCAAGGGCAGTGTGTTCATAGCAGAAAATACCAAAACCAGTACCTCTGTACCAGTTGGACAAGCTGCCCATCCATAGACTTGTTTTTTAATGTTCCAGCTAAATAGGGGAGACAGGCTTCTACAGTAGGCAGCTACTCATTTCCACCATTCTAAGTAACCAGGCTCTTGGAATGATAGGACAAAGTAGGTGGCAGTGTTTCCTGTTTTTCAGATGCGAATGTCATGGTGTGGGAAAGTAAAAAAACTTGCTCAGGGACACAGATACTGCTTGCTGTCTGGTTCTACATTTGAAGCCATGCCTGATTTATAAGGCCAGTGTTGGCAGGGTCAGAAGACAGAGTTCCCAACCTGCTCTTTTTCATTCACCAGGCCAAGAGAGCAGTTCAGCGGGGAGCCACTGCAGTTATCTTTGATGTATCTGAAAACCCAGAAGCCATTGACCAGGTAAATCTCCACCAAAACCAGTCCTACTGTCTGCCTGAGGGGCATTTGCTTTGGTTATCTTGAGTGAACACTGTTGTGATACCCTGTCTCAGATTCTTTGTACCTGTTTGCTGAGGTAGTATGCCTGTGTTTGAGCATCATACCCTGAGGGAGCCATATAGAAAGTGGTTATGAGTTGGGGTTAGGGATGAGAGACATTTTCAAGTAGTTTTCTGGGCTTTCAGGCAGCTCAACCCATCCTTCAAGTATAGCTCCCTATCCTCACTTTTCTGGGAATCTCAAGGATTGAGATGCTTGAAAACTTCAAGAAGTTCCAAATGGGGATTTAGAGGTTTTTTTTTGTTTGTTTGTTTGTTTGTTTTTCTTGTATGTGCATGCATGAGAGAGCTCATGCCTCTCTCTCTCTCTCTCTCTCTCTCTCTCTCTCTCTCTGTGTGTGTGTGTGTGTGTGTGTGTGTGTGTGTGTGTGTGTGTGTGTGTGTGTGTGTGTTGAAAGCTAGGCACTGCATGTGCCAGAGAAGTGCTCTACCATTGAGCAACATTCAAAACTCTTTCTTGCTTCTTAAAGTAAGTAAGCATGTCTTTTAATTGGTGCCCTCTCTTCTTTGTCAGTTAAACCAAGGCTCAGAAGACCCTCTTAAGAGGCCAGTGGTATATGTGAAGGGTGCAGACGCCATCAAGCTGATGAACATTGTCAACAAGCAGAAAGTAGCACGAGCAAGGATCCAGCATCTCCCTCCTCGAGTGAGTGGCAACTTGTCTGCTTTCCTACCAGTGCCTTCATTTCCTTTGAGCCTTGGCTTTCGGCCCTCTTGTCCCCACATCTAGAATGCTGGCATAGTGTAGGTTCCTATGGGTTGAGCTCAACTACGCTACAGAAGAACAGAGAACTTTTCACCTAAATTTCTTTATTTGTAAAAATTTGTAAAAAGCTTATGGAAATTGACATTATATGCTATGAAGTCTTTGGTTTCTCCCACCTGGCATTGCCCGTTTTCAGCCCATCCTTCTAAGAGACAGATGAAGAGATGACACATTTAACACTTGGTTTCCTTTCTCTCAATCCTTCCATCTGACCTAAAGATGAGAAAATGCCCATACTTCCTTCTTTCTTTCTCCTCCTCCTCCTCCTCCTCCTCCTCCTCGTCTTCTTCTTCTTCTGCTTTCCCTGCTGAAACAGGGTTTCTCTGTGTAGCCCTGGCTGCCCTGGAACTCACTCTGTAGACCAGGCTGGCCTCAAACTCACGAAGATCCACCTGCTTCTGCCTCCTGAGTTCAGGGACTAAAAGCATGCTCCACCAACACCCAGTTATACTTCCTCCTTTCAATTAGGTAGATTACTCACTTAAAACTCTCTGACTCACAAATAAGAACATTTAAGAATTACTCAGGCCTGGGACTGACATTTGTTGGTGACCAGAAGCAGTCAGGCATCTCTTCACTGTGCTGAAGCAATATCACTGCCTGCTCATATTTGACTGACATCTCCTCAGCGTTGGAATCTGGGGCTGGTGCCCATGTGTGGTTTTTTTCCTCCTCACAATTACTGAACTGTTCCCATGTACAATGATTCTTTCACCTGCACCGAGTATCTGGGTAGCACAGCATCTCACTAGGGCCCTGTTCGTGAATGTCCTAAGTGCTGCAGCTTCAGGTGGTGGAAGGCAGTGTTCTGTGCAGAAAAGATAAGCGCTGCCAAGTGCAGTTCAGTTGGTAGAGGACCTGCCTAGCATCCACAAAGCCCAGGGTTCATTCCCCAGCACTACGTAAAGCCACTGTAATGGTACAACTGTGATCCCAGCACTTAGAAGGTAGTGGTAGTAGGGTTAGAAATTCAGTGTCATCTTCAGCTATATAGCAAGGTCAGGAGCAGTTTAGGATAAATGCTGCCTCACACCCCGTACCCCACCCTAAGAAAAAAAAAAGAAACAAGGGGCATTTGCAGAACAGACTTGCCAGCTTCATTTTCAATGAAAAGGGAACTCTTTGGTAAACGTGACTCATTATAGTGGAAGCTGATATTTGTGGAACACCATCCACTTTTCTAAGTTGTTGTAAACCATTAATTATATGCTTAATAATCACTGTTCCCTCAAAACACAATACTCACTCCTTTGTCTATAACTGTGATTATTTATGTTTATTCAGAGGGGCCTTTCTCACTGGGTATACCAAACTTTGCACTGTTTTAATAGGAGCCCAAACTTTAAAACTGGCTCTCTCAGCTACTAGGAGGCCTGAGGCCACTGCAGCTCCCCCACCCTCTTCCTGAACACACTAAGGCACCATCACTGTGTTCATGTGAGCAGAACCCAAAGAGCATCCTACCCACTTGAGGGATCCTGTGCTCACTCATCCACCCCATCTCCTGACCAGGACTGACAGCCCACATGCTCATGTCACTTGTGTTCTATTCTAGCAACCCACTGAGTACTTTGACATGGGGATTTTCCTGGCTTTCTTCGTCGTCGTATCCCTGGTCTGCCTCATTCTCCTTGTCAAAATCAAGCTGAAGCAGCGTCGTAGTCAGGTAACCCCTGAGAACAACCTGTGAACCCCATTGCCCTGTTGCTGATGAAAGTTAGGGGTCTAGCCAGCCTGCTGTCTGTGGCACCCATCTTTTCTCAATGGCATGGAGAATACCAAACTTCAGGTGCTGAGCCCTCATGTTGAGAAGAGCAGGCCTGCGTTGGGGGTATTCCAAGCTAGTATTTTGAGGGAAATGTTCAAATAAATATTGTTTTGGAGCATGAGACCTTTGCTCCTCAGGTAGATCTAGGGTTGATAGAAATACAGACTATTTATGGAGAGATGGATCAGAGGTTAAGAGCACTGACTGCTCTTCCAGAGGTCCTGAGTTCAATTCCCAGCAACCACATGGTGGCTCACAACCATCTATAATGAGATCTGATGCCCTCTTCTGGCATGCAGGCAGAACACTGTATACAAAATAAATAAAGAAAGAAGGAAATACAGACTATGAAGTTCCCAGGTCTTATGATGAAATTTACCTCTGCTAGGCCCTTCTATTGACTCTTGATAAACAGGTAGCCATTGTGGTACTCTAGCCAACCCATCACTGCAGCTTACAAGAAAGAAAGACCTGCAGGCAGAGGGTGGTGAGAGGAGGTTAAGTAGGGATCTAGACTTTGAGATGTGTGACAATATGACACCTTGGGAGAGCAGATACCTTGGAGAGTGACAGTCAAAGAAAAATGGTTTCGGTTGTCAGGATGGCTGAGGGACCATCACCAGCAAGAACAGGGATTATGGGCTAGTATTTATGCACTCACACTATGTCAGATGCTAAGCACTCACAAGAACTCTCATTTCCCTCCCTTCCTTCAACAAGGGGGGCCTTCTAAAAACCAAGTTCCACAGAATTGGGAGGAACCAGAGAGAGGGAATTACATTTTACTTTGAAGGCAAGACTTTGGAGTAGGGTTACTTGGGAAAAACCTGGACCAATGCCATGGGCACTCTGAAGGATCTAGAATATACAGTACCAGAATGAGTTTTGAGCAGTTTCTCAAGAATCTGTTTGACAGACTATGTTGTCTGACCCAGTATCATGAGTGCCATGGCTTGGGGTGTGACTACCACTGTTAATGTGTACCAACACTGACCACGCTCTACCATGCAGAATTCCATGAACAGGCTGGCTGTGCAGGCTCTGGAGAAGATGGAAACCAGAAAGTTCAACTCCAAGAGCAAAGGGCGCCGGGAAGGAAGCTGCGGGGCCCTGGATACACTTAGCAGTGGCTCCACATCTGACTGTGCCATCTGTCTGGAGAAGTACATTGATGGAGAGGTAGTGGCAGAGACAGGGCTTTTCTTGGATGGGGAGGGGATGTACAGGCTCCCAGAATGCTGGGGACCACCATGACCAGAGTTCCCCACAATCACAATGTCCAGGCTTTTAAAGGTATTTCTCCTAGGGGCTGGGAAGACACAATACTCTGTAGATGGTCTGGCTAAGTGGGTGACTTTAGAAGTTGATCAAAAGTATGTGGGTGTCAGGCATGATTGTATATGCCAGTCATTCTAGCACTTGAGAGGCTAATCAGGAGAATTGTGAGTTTAAGGTTCTGGCTCCAAAAACAAAACAAAGTACATAGATGTAAGAACAAGTTGTTTGCTTTGCTTTGAAGAAGTCGTTATGTGGTGTGTTTACTTGGAAAATGTCAATTTGATGCCTTTGTTTTCTCTTGTAGCTCTTTATTAAAAGTTACAAGATTGGGGGGTGGAGGAAGGGGGAGCTGTGGTTGATATGTAAAATGAATAAAACATTCAAATTTAAAAAAAATGTTACAAAAAAGGAGCAGCATAGACTATTCACCTAGAACCACCTGTCATTAGCATTTTGCTATTTTTGTGCCTGTCTCCAGTTAGATAGATACACACAAAGTGGGGAGCAAACTGCTTGAGAGTCCAGGCTTTGGACAGTCCCTGGATGAGAGCACCCACTGATGTATAGATTGCTGGGCCGAAGTGTTTGCACACAAGCCTTTGGAATGATACTCTTGCATGGACTGTGGGTACAGGCTCCTGGATTCCAACCTAGCCCAGGCAGGTTCTTGGTTTGTGAACTTGGCAAGTGACTTCATCCTGTGTCAGCAATTGTGATGCCAATCAGCATACTAGATGCTCACAAAGGCTACTTAGGTGAGAAGATACAGATATTCTAAAGCATCACATTGGTTATTAGTGTGAATATTACTCTGTCAGACTGGTGAGAAAATAAAAGCAAAACAATAACAGCAGTCAAAAGGATGCTTGGAAAGCCCATCACATTCTGTCACAGACTACTTTCCTTAGAAGCCAGGTGGCCCCAGGAAGTGTTCCTTTCTACTTGACCTCCTTCAGGGGTGCCTAGAAAGCAACCATCTGTAGATGGTCCAGCGGTTCTCAGCCTTCGTAATGCTGTGACCCTTTAATATAGTTCCTCATGTGTGGTGACCCCTAACCATGAAATTATTTTCATTGCTACTTCATAACTGTAATTTTGTTACTGTTATGCATCATATTAGAAATATCGGTGTTTTCAGATGGGTTGGGGAATCTTAACCCATAGGCTGAGAACCACTGCTGTACACCAGCATAGATTACCTAGGTGTTTATAACTCTCCCTGCAAACCCTATGCTCCCTAGCCTGAAGCTTCACCACTGTCTCTCTGAGCATTTGGACTTCCGGAAACATATAAGTTTCTAAGGAGTTCATAGATTACTGTTATGCATCATATTAGAAATATCGGTGTTTTCAGATGGGTTGGGGAATCTTAACCCATAGGCTGAGAACCACTGCTGTACACCAGCATAGATTACCTAGGTGTTTATAACTCTCCCTGCAAACCCTATGCTCCCTAGCCTGAAGCTTTGGACTTAGCTTTTCCAGGGCTCCAGCTCCTAGAAAAGGACCTGCTTCCTTGTGTTCCTTGTCCTTTAGCCCTGAGGACTATGATTGGGCCAAGCGGATTGAGCAGTTTCCTTTTCCCCATTGGCCCTACTTCAAGGAATGAAACTGGCCTTTATTTGGAGTTTGGGGTGAGAGTAGGAAATGTTTTAACTTTCCATTCCTACAACAAATGTCTGCAGTAATAAACATATAAAGAGCAAAAGTTTGTTTGAGCACATAGTTTTGGACATTTTAGCCCATGATCATTAGACTGCAATCCTTTTAGGCTTCTAGGGAGGCAGCGTAGCATGACAAGAACATGTGATGGAGAGGACTGGGGAGATGCCTCAGCAGTTAGGCATCACTTGGAGAGGATCTGAGTTCATTTCCTAAAACCTATATTGTGTTGTTCACAACTACCTGCAACTCCAGCTCCAGGGGACCAGCACCCTCTTCTACCCTTCTCAGGCAGCTACACTCACATGCGTACCTCAGTACAGGCATGTAAGCATGCATACATATAATTAAAAGTAAAAATTAAGGTAGTCTCTTATAAAATGCAGCTTTGCTGTTTTATAAGTCTGTGTTTCTGAATTATTCACAAAAATGTACCTTCTCCTTTTCTTATCCCTTACCCTTTGTTTCTCCATATATCTGACCCTATGCCAGCTTAACTCAAGTGGCATGGCTTCCTTCTCTCCTCCATTCTTCTCTGAGCAACTGTTGAGATACACTGCTTTTCTACCCTGAAAGTTTTCTCTTTATCTCTAATAAAATTTATCATCAAGCTTAAAAATAAATAAACCAGGTGGTGGTGGTGCACGCTTTTAATCCCAGTGCTTGGGAGGCAGAGGCAGGCGGATCTGTGACTTCCAGGACTTCCGGGACTACACAGAGAAACCCTGTCTCACAAAAACAAAACAATAACAAAAGAAACTAGAACAAATAAATAAATTTTCAAAGTTGCTTACCAGGAAGACACAAAAAAAGAGGAAGAGAGTAAACCAGATCCCAGTAGGCCTTGCTTCCTGGTACTGCCAAGCTAGAAACACTTAAAATCCATATTACAACAGGAAAGCATCAAAACAGTGCACAGGGCTATTCAGAATCCTGTAGGATACATTGAGGAGGCACATGTGTGAGGGTGGGAGCAGAGTGCCTTCTTTCCCTTCAGTCCATCCTTCATGCTATGTTTCCCTGTCTCCCTTTGCAGGAGCTTCGGGTCATCCCCTGTACCCATCGGTTCCACAGGAAATGTGTAGATCCATGGCTGCTGCAGCACCACACCTGCCCCCACTGTCGGCACAATATCATAGGTAATTATTACAAGCCTTGGAGGACATTGTCCCTCCCGAGTATGATAAGTGTTTGATGCATGCTATAGGCTTATGAGCACACTGAACCAACACAGTGTGGTCTTCTGGACCTGCGGGTGTGAAGGCCTTGGGTTTTGAAACTTGTCTGTACAATTCTTTAAGCAGAGCCTGCCATTAAGGATCACTTTTAGGGGCAGATGATGTGGCTCAGAAGTCACTGTTGCCTAGATTGTGCAAATTTTATTGCCCAGTATTCCCCCTCCTCTGAAGAAAATCATCTTGTGTTCAAGTTTAGGTTTCCAATTAATTAGGATCCTAGCTCGGTGTGGTGGTGTACACATGGTATACCCAGCACTTGGGAAGTACAGGCAAGAGTTCAATGTCATCTTCAGCTACATAGCAAGTTGGAGGCCAGGGCAAGGTACATGTCTGAGGAAAGTAAAAAACAACAAATCCCAGCATCCTGACCTGTCCTCCCTAGGCCTAAAGCCCTCTGTCTCTTTTAACAGAGACAGGGACTACCCAGGCCTAGAATACAGGGTTGTTTCTAAGGACACCAGGAATGATGAATATGCAATAGCAGTGTTTGTTGCTGCACCCATGTCATCATTACAGAGCAGGGTGGGAGACATTCCCATCTTTGTGTTTGTTTTGCTCTCAATAGACTCTGTGTGGGGAGATGGGAAAAAGACAGATCAGCCTCTGCCAGCTCAGCTGAACTTAGAGACAGTTTACAATGTGGCAGGGTCAAGCATAGACTCCCGGGCACATAGCTTCACATGATGCTTCAGTCTCTGCCCCATTACCTTATTTCCTCCATCTCTTCCAGAACAAAAGGGAAACCCGGGTGCTGTTTGTGTGGAGACCAGCAATCTTACACGTGGTCGGCAGCCAAGAGTGACCCTGCCAGTACATTACCCAGGCCGTGTGCATAGGACCAATGCCATCCCAGCCTACCCTACCAGGACAAGTATGGACTCCCATGGCAATCCTGTCACACTGCTGACCATGGACCGGCACGGGGAGCAGAACCTCTATTCTCCACAGACCCCCACCTACATCCGTGGCTACCCACCCCTGCACCTGGACCATACTCTGGCCCCTCATCGCTGCAGCCTGGAACACCGGGCCTACTCACCAGCCCATCCCTTCCGCAGGCCCAAGTTCAGTGGCCGAAGCTTCTCCAAGGCAGCTTGCTTCTCCCAGTATGAGACCATGTACCAACACTACTACTTCCAGGGTCTCAGCTACCCAGAGCAGGAGGGCCAGCCAATACCCAGCCTCACACCCAGGGGCCCATCCCGTGCCTTCCCACCAAGTGGTGGCAGTAGCCTGCTCTTCCCTACTGTGGTGCACATGGCCCCTCCCACCCACGTAGAGAGCGGCAGCACCTCCAGCTTCAGCTGCTACCATGGGCACCGCTCTGTGTGCAGTGGCTATCTGGCAGACTGTCCAGGCAGTGATAGTAGCAGCAACAGCTCTGGCCAGTGCCGCTGCTCTTCCAGTGACTCCGTGGTGGACTGCACAGAAGTCAGCAACCAAGGTGTGTATGGAAGCTGTTCCACCTTCCGCAGCTCCCTCAGCAGCGACTACGACCCCTTCATCTACCGCAGCCGGGGACCCGCTGTACACCTTGAAGGCTCCCCACCACCAGAGGAGCTCCCAGCAGCACACAGTCAAGGTGCTGGGCGGGGTGAGCCATGGCTAGGCCCTGCCTCTCCCTCAGGGGACCAGCTGTCCACCTGCAGCCTGGAGATGAACTACAGCAGCAACTCCTCGCTGGAACCCAGAGGGCCCAACAGCTCTACCTCAGAAGTGGGGCTCGAGGTTTCTCCTGGGGCCGCCCTGGACCTCAGGAGGACCTGGAAAGGGGGCCCAGAGGGACCATCATGTGGTTGCTGCTTCGATCCCCAGCCCTCTTCCCTGGGCCATGGGACTGGAGCAGCTGCTGGTGGCAGCACCTTATTCCTGGGTCCCCGGCTCCGTGAGGACTGCAACCCTACAAGTGGGGAGCCACAACCAGGGAGCTCCCAGGGCCTGTATGGCCTTCACTCAGACCATTTTCCCAGGACAGATGGGGTGAAATATGAGGGCCTGCCCTGCTGCTTCTATGAAGAGAAGCAGGTGGCCCACAGTGCTGGCAGGGGCAATGGCTGCTACACTGAAGACTATTCGGTGAGTGTGCAGTACACACTCACTGAGGAACCCCCACCCAGCTGCTATGCAGGGGCCCGGGACCTGAGCCAGCGCATCCCCATTATTCCAGAGGATGTAGATTGTGACTTGGGCTTGCCTCAAGACTGCCAAGGGATGCACAGCCACAGTTCCTGGGGTGGGATGCTGGGCTTGGACGTCTCCCGACTCCACTGGAGTCTGGGGACAACCCGGGAAGAGGAACAGGCTCCATGCTGCCAAGCGGAGGTGCCACTGCAGCCTGGCTGCTCTCCAGAGGAGGCAGATGCTTCCAGGGCTAGCCTCTCCATTGCCCCCCAGGACACTCAGGAGTCCCATGCCCTGGCTGCTGAGGCTTCAGGTGAGAGCAGATGATAGTAGGTATTTGTATAGAGGTCTTCTTTTCAGGCCTTTTCTGTTTGGCTGCTTCTGTGACTTGGCTTCTGCACCTGCTGGCTTTCAAACATTGCTTCTCAGCCCCACCCATCCTCAAACCCTCTATCCATGATGTTGGCATCTTTTCGCTTCAGATGCTTTACATCCCAAAAGTAATCTTAATTTTATCAGCTCTTCTGCATCTCCTATCCCTTGGTCCATCCCTGTGCCTCTTAGCAAAGTCCTCCTGACAGACCTTGCTGCACTTGCCTACTCTCTTTGATCCAGCCTTTGTCCCATCCCTGCATCATGTCAGGTTCATTTTCATCTCCAGACCTCTCTAGATCTCAGCTAAGTGGCCTTCCTTTCCCCATCAGTCTCACTCACTCCCTCTGCTACTTCCTAAGTCACCTCAAGCCAGGCACCTTATGGGAAGGTCTGTGTGGCCTGTAAGGGGTCTCTCTGCTCTTTCAGTGCCATCAGGAATTATTCACTTTTCTGCATTATGGTTCCATGACATCTTAGGGCTTCCAGAAGACTCGTATATCCAAACAAGGGAGACCTGTCCCCCAGAGACTTGAGCTCAGGAAAGAAGCCATTGCTGTCCCTCCCCCTTATTACTCCCGTAGTCTACCCACCATTGTGAACTGTCACTTCCAAGAGCCCCATACACAGAATAGGGATGCCCAAGGCCCTTACCTGGTACACACTGCACTAAGCTTGCTGTGCCGGCTCTCTCCACAACCTTGATGACTGTTCTCCCTCTCTCCCAGGACCAGGATCTGGCCCATGCATCGGTACGGGAGCTTGAGCTCAGAAGGAACTCTTGTGTAAAAATCGGAAACTGTATGGAGACTTCAAAGTCTGGCTTCCTTCAAAACTAATAATATATTAGTTTTATATATTAGTTTTGACAAACACAAAAGTGGTAATAAAGACAGCCCTCCTCAACCCAAAATGTGAGCCACCTGTGGCATCCCCCATTAACAAACCAACAGACAAAATCTTGAGTCCTTTGCCTCTTTTAATAATGTGTTACTCTATTTTGTAATGTGTACTTGGGATTCTGAGGTGTGTGGGATTGAGTTCTCTGCTTTTTTTTTCTAAGATGTTATATGTAAATGTAAAAAGTTATTTAAATATATATTTTAAAGAACCCTAACCACCAACTTTTGTTGAAAAAGAAAAGAAAAATCACTGCTGCATTAAATGAACCACATCATGTGTCGATACTGTCGTCTCCTTAGAGGGACCTCAGGCCTTTGAAAAGCTCAGGGTTACACCTGCCTTATTGAAAATGAACCAGAAACTTGAAATAAAAAGTTAGTTGATAGGGGTACAAACTCCAAGGAACAATGCAAAGCTGCCTCTCCTCTTTTCCATTTTTTGAGGCAAATCTGGACTTCAGGGCTTCTGGAAAGCCACGCCTCTCCTGCCCACACCTGTAAGCAGCCATGGAAACTGCTAGAACAGGAGGGAAAGGGGAGGTGTCAAACCATTGTTGCCTAGGCCCCAGGTTGTTGGGGACAGTTGTGCCCATTCTCTTCTGTTCCTTTGGGTCATCATCGTCCTTGTCCCAGCATAAGATGGGACTGTCACTAGGCTCTCTCCTGCATTCTGACCATTGTGGCAGAGAAGAGACACCCTCATCCTTACTGTCCAACTGTCCAGCTCTCGAGTCTTCTGTAAAATTGTTTTGGGCTTCGTGCCACCAATTGCAAAGTGTGCAGGGCAGAGACCCAGGAGGAATGTTGCTTTGTGGCCTTGGTGTCCTCTCACCCAGCAGCAGTGCACCACCCCTTAAAGAAAGGCATAATGGGGCACACATGTGTCCATGGTCTGGGGGCAGGCATGCCCCTTAACTGTTGCCGCCTTAGGTTGCCTTTTTAAGGGGCGCATGCTTGATCCACAGGGGTGTGCACTAAGCTCCATTTGAACCTATTTCCCATCCCTAGAAAAACTGCTTCGGGGCTCCTCAGGCCTCTGCCTAGTGGCTGCAGTAGCTCACCTCACCAGCAGAGGTCTGCTAGCCTATCTGCCTGATGCACTATATGTACTTATTCTCCACGGGACAGACTGTCAGATAGCTCAGACCCAAAGGGGAGGCATGTGTATATTTTTTTCCAGCCTCTTCTTTTTTAAGGGGAAGGCAGAGTTTTTTTAAAAGCAAACCATTTTTGGTTGTTTTTGTTGTTATTGTTGTTTTTAAGATGTTTTGTTTGTTTTTAAAAGGGAGAGATAATCTATTTAAAACTACTTCAGGGATTGTAATCCTTTTTGTCCAATATAGTTCTTGTTCTTAAAAATGTTTTCTTTTCCTTAGAGGAAACTAATTGTGTCGGCCCTGTGTCAGTAACTCTTCTGGTCACTTTTATTCATTGATTTAGCAGATACCTTTTGCCATCTGAAAGTGTTTGGCCTAGTAGGTCTGAAAGCTCAGTTACAGAATGGGAACCTTGGTACCTGGGGGAAAGGGGACCACCCTAGGTTACCAGAGACAGAAGTGACCCCTCTCCCAGTCAGGCTCCCAGGAAGTTGCCCCAGGGGCCAGACTGTACATTTTGAGAATGTCTGAATGCTTTGTTCTTTAAAACCCCATCCTAAGAAGAGGACGTTGATCATTTCTAGCCAGGATCTGGCAGAAGTCCCCATATCAGATGATCCAGCCATTTAACCCTTTAGGAAGAGGCCATGGTAAAATTTGTTCTTCCGCCCAACTCTGGGGTTCTGTCCCTCGAGGGCTCCTCCAGGCTGTGCCCAGTGCAACTATTAGTAAGGGTGTGAGAAGGGTCTAAACTGTTGACATGTGATCATCGGGGGTTGCCTTTATTTCTGGGGCCAGGAGTTGCAGCTGCTAAGAACAACAGCCTGCCTTACTGTGCAGTGGGAATGAGGGCACAGTTTTTAATACAAACTGCAAAGCTCAGCTTTCCACTGTTAGGTTGTTTGTTTTTTCTGGTTTTGCTTTTTTGTTTTTAGTGTCTGCATGTGCATCTCTCTCCCTTGGCTGAAACAAACCCCAGAAAGACTTGTCTTTGTCCTGGCTAGAACACCACTTCTCAGTCATCTTAAATAGTACACAAATGAGTAGAGAATCTGAATGTCACTGGAAGAAGTCAAATGAACAAGCCCAGCCCCCTCTGAAAGAGTGGGGTGAGGAGGGGGCTGGGGAGAGAAGACAAACACTTGTCATTGTTATAGTTTGGGAATAGTAGGAACAAAAGGAAAATTTAGAAACAGTCATCATCTTTGTTGCCTCATCAGACCAGAACAAAATAACCTGTCAGCTATCTTTTGTCACCATTTAAATAAAAAGAAACAGTGTCTGTGAAGTTCCAAGACTCTAATATTGGTGACAGGTATTCTCTTTTGGGGAGTGGGAAGGGGACTAGAACGTTAGTAGTATAATCACATGGTCATGGACAAGGAACTCTGCACTTTCCCCTGGAAACCTCTATACCATCTAAGTGTGTGATAGCAAGTATGAGCTTGATATCAGCCCTGGGTGTAAAATAGCCATGAAAACATAGAATTCTAGAATCAGATGAAAATGGAAGTTTGGACATTCAGCTCCTTTAGCTGACAGTCCCCCTTCTCCTTCAGGCCCAGGCCATATTACTAGGTTCCATCTTCAGTCCTGTGGTTCAGGCCCTCCCTCTGTCTTCTGGTCTCAAAGTTCACACAGGACTAATGCTTTTAAAATGTGGTCTATAAAAGAATTAGTTGAAAGTATCATCTTTTAAACTGACCTACCTTTTTCTTATCCTTACATAAACTTTTTGTATTGTTGGTCTAACAAGACACTTTTTTTTTTCTCCCATAGCACTTAAGATTTTTGTAAAGACTTTGCTGTAAAGGCTTTGTGATAAAATGGTCTAAGGGCTCTTTTCAACATTACCATTTGAAAAACTTTTTAAAGCTAGAAAACAACTTATGTATATTCTGTATATGTATAGCAACACATTTCATTTATGGAAATATGTTCTCAGAATATTTATTTACTAATATATTTATCTTAAGCCATGTCTTATGTTGAGAGTGTGACATTGTTGAAATAATCATTGAAAATGACTAACAAGGCCCTGTAAATACATGATAATTGCACACAGATTTTACATATTTGCAGACCAAAAATGATTTAAAGCAAGTTGTAGTCTTCTATGGTTTTGTAACAAATTGTACAAATGACTGTAAAAAAAAAAAATACAATTTTATCAAGTATGTGTTACATGTGGTCATTGCTATGATTGGCTAAAGTCTAGAGCCTGCTGCCTTTTGCAGGCCATTGCTCTGAGAACCATCTTATTCAGAGACTTTCTGGAAACTTCTGCTTCTATTAACAGAGTCCTAGTTGTGGGGTGTTTGCAGTCATCACAGTATTCTAGGGCCTGGGTTTTTATCCTTGCATAGCAGTGTTTGACAGGAACCTAAAGCAAGATTGTCACAACTTCCAGGCCAGCCTGTGCAATTTAATGAAACCCTGTGTCAAAAAAGTAAAAAGTGTGCTGGGTATGCATCTTGATGGCAGAGCACCTGCCAACAATCAAGGCTCTAGGTTTAAGCCCCCATAGCTGCCTTGCCCTGCCCCATATCCCCACTCTCCCACCCCTATCCCCAGAAACCCCAACCAGGCATGGTGGCTTACAACTGTAATTCTTGTGCTTCAGAGGCAAAGGCAGGTGGATCTCTTGAGTTCAAGGCCAACCTGGTCTACATAGTGAGTTCCATGACAGCCAAGTCTATGTAGAGAGATCCTGTCTCCAAATAATAATAATAAAGCCTGGGAATGTTGTCTCTTTTCCCTGGGAGGTTAGTTACGAGTACATAAAGCACTCTGAGGCTAGATGAAGAGCACAGTTTGTTTTTCAGACATGCTGCAGAGGACACTCCAATCTTATGAGTTCCCGTTATTTTTTCTTAGCTTGAGCCATTTCTCAGGGACAGCAGCTATACTCCCTGCCCAGTTCAGGTTCCTCTATGCACTCC